GGAGGGTTAACCCCCACCATTCTGTAGGCTAAATACCATCACTGATGTATAACGTATACCTCGAAAACATCAAAAACGGACTGTCATCGATCTGACCAGCTCTCCAAGACCTCTACCAAGGACCTCTTCGTCTGACCCATGCAGAACAACGTGAATCTTCTCTGGCAGCTGGGAATCCGTGTTGACTCCGCCGGTGTTTCTCGCAAAGAAAGTGAAAGCGAACCGTCCACCGTCCTTCTTTTTTGGGATGGGTGACATCACCCATCTCCCCCGCAAAAAACAACGGTCTCATCCACGGTATTTCCTGGCTCGGTGCACTTCCCTTCCGATCTTCCGCAAAAAACCATGAAATCACACGAAATCACGGCCCCATCGCTGCCGCGACCCGCCATGGCGCATCACACGCGACACATCCGCTCCGTCCACCAACTCTGCGTATCCGCACCCCTCCAGGCTGCAGAACGCGGAAGACTTCGGACAGATAGGCCTGGCGGAGTGGGAAAAAACCAGCGACTGAGTCAGGTCCCGCCTCGCTTCACCGGCCACGCGCCCACGGGTGCGGACCGCTGCAGCTCGTTTCCGCGCTGGACCGACGTGGCTCCAGGCGCACCACGCCGATGGGGAGACGATCAGCTTGGATGGTGGAGACGAAATGAACAACCCATACCTGGAGTCTCAAAAGTGCCCCAGAAAATGGGTCCAAGATGGTGCAAGTAGCTGCTTCCCCATCCGCCAGGTGAGGGTTGTTGGAGTTGATCAGAGCGGAACACCCGCTCTGTGTACCGCAAGGAGCACTTGATGTCAATCCGGAGGACAGAATGACTCTCGTCGACCACGGTATCCCCATCTATGGATCATACCGCGGAAAGATGTTGGATCGCTCTAAGTACTGTTTACAGGGTTTAAGGAGCATGAGATGTAAAACACATCCTCCAGCAAAGTGTCCTGATTTATCCTGATTTGAACTTTCGCTCGAGTTCATGACATGGATTTGGATCACCTCCAGCACCACGTTCAGATTCATTGTCCAAGAATCACATCTCTCAATTTTATGAATGACTCTCGAACGTTTTCATGTGCAAAATTGGCTTCGTGAGGTTTGCTATCCAAGCAAGTTCGAGAAGAATCATGCTCAATAGGCTGTGTTGGGCATTGAAGTCAGCGTAATCCCAACATCGCCAAGCTCTCCCATCTCTCATTCAGGAGTGCCATGCTGTTCGTCTTCAGCCAAGATCACCCAAACACTCCATGGGACTGCCATATATGCCGATCAATTGACCCCTCTGGCGCCACCCCAACTGATCGGCAAATATAACAGTCCCATGGAGTGTCTGGGTCATGTCAACCCACTTCGAGAAAATACCCAAAAACACCCTTCCAACCGGCCAGGCCACCTCCGGCGAACCACGAGTCGCGCGAACCACTCACTACATCGCGCTCACGTCGCGAACGTCGCCTCAGCGGCCCCTTGGTGGGAACAAAGCAAGGTGTCCAGGGTGGCCTTCGGCCAGCGCGGTGATCAGTCGGTCGATAGATCGGAGAGGGGGCTTGAAGATCGCTGTTGTTCTTTTGGTAGCTATAGGCTATAGGTCTTATAGGTCGAGGTGACTCTATATCTGAAACATGTACTAGTACTCAGCCGTGCTGGAAACGGTTTCTATAGTCTTGCAGTATTGCATCTTTAGAGTACTTTCGGGACGACTATTGCTTGGATAAAAACATGCACCATTCCCTTTTTGAGGCTCCTGGCCCCTATCCTCAGGTTCTGTGGTTGGACCGCCCTGGCACCCCAAGCACCGAACCTGGCGATATGGTTGGAGCCCTAGGGATTTGATGATCTTTCTGAAGAATGCTCTTCAGATTGTGGTACAATTCCCACTGATGTGCAGTTGACCTCGAACACTCGGTCCGAAACAAAGGTCACTTCCTGCATCTGACTGCAAGTACCTGAGAAAATAGACATGACCCTATTAAAGAACAACAGGTGCTTGTACCCATTGTCCAAGGTACTTTGAAGCTCTCTATAGGTTCATTTGATTACAAACAGCGCCGGCTCACGGACACCGATCTCTTAGGGCATGTTTTCCCTCTACAGCAGGGCCATATTGCTGCACAAGTTGCATCATGATAAGTGACATTTGAAACCGTGAACACAAACATTCATCTTTGGGGGTAGTTCCAGATGTTTTTTGTTGCCAAGTTCCGTGTGTTTGGAACAATATGAAACACGATGGAACAATTTCATAGTTTACAACATTTTACAACCACCATGTTATACCATGTTGTATCCTTTTGTGAGAATTTATTTGCAAGTGTTATTCCTGGAAACCACCTGTTTACAGCTTCTTTCAGCTTCACAACCTGTGGAGGCTGAATCTGATCTCATGTGGCTGAAAATGGCTTGTGCAAAACGATAAGAACATGGAAGATTTGGAAGAACATGACTAAACAAACTGTGCACGACCACTCATAGCCCCAAAGATTGAAACCTATAACTGCATTCTGCTGTTGGGAACTGCAGTCCTTGAAAAAGGAACCTGTCAGCTCTAGGGTATGGAGGGAAGGACGATTCCTCACTGCCAGGTCTCCTCGTTTAAAGGTTGGACCCAAACACCCTACACCTCCAGTCGTACCTCCTCAGGTTCGGTATGACTGGTCCCTCCTCGCACCCGGCCCCATGTCGTCCCACCGAAACGAAACGGTTCGGTACGACTGGAGGAGGTCTAGGGATACAGGTCGAACCAGGTCTAGGTGACCTGTAGAGATGCTGACGGAGCCCTCCTTCAGGAGCCCTCTCAGAACTCTCCATCGGACCTCTAGATTCTCTAATCCCGGCCTAGTAGCCTACAGTCTCCCTGGCCCCAGTGGATCCCAAGCAGCCACAAAAAGCAACAATAACCCATCTGGACTCTGGACCTTCAAGCTGGAGGTCCCCTAGTGGTGTAGGGGCTTCCATTGAATGGTGACCCCTTTGAAGGTGCTGGCAGGGTTTTTTTGGTGGGTCTATGATATTCATGATTGGAACGTGGTCAGGAACGACCAGCTACAAATAGAGCTACCACTGAGAGGTCTATTTGCAAGGACTTCTTGGGATGTTCGGGTCCTAACCAACCTCGCGCCACGGATCACCTCACTGCCCGGATCAGAATGCAGGCCCTGAACCGTTTGGAAAGGCTTTTGAAACCGTTTTGAGGGTCCGAACCCCTGCTATGGAGGGTCCCAACCCCTGTGATGCAGGGCCCAAGGACTCTGATGGCACCCTAAGGATCCGGACCTTCAAAACAAGGGTCTTGAGCGGCCCCAAACCCCTGTTATAGAGGGTTTCGACCCCTGCTATGGAGGGATTCGGAAGTGCTGGGCCTTGTCGAAGACCGCATGGAAGCATTCATCCGGGAAGCTCATGCGGGTGGCATTCATCTGACACAGCAGGGTCGATCGGTGCGTGGCATCGCGGAAGGCAGCATGACTGGCAATGCGGCGAGGCCAGCCAGGCATCATGCGCCACACATATCATGTTGCAGTTCATGGGAAGAACAACTCTTGTGAGGGCTCCGGAATCTGATCTTCGGCCGTCTCAAGAGACACAAAACGTGTCACCGGTCCTGACAAAACTTATGGAGATTTCAGGCAAGCAAAAAACAAGGAAACATCTGATCTTTGGCTCAGACGTCCCAGTTGGTTTTGAATACATCTAGTGTCCGGTTTCGGCCCCCACTTTAATATATAGTCTATTCCATCAGAGTTGCTTTGTGAGGCACAGCAAACACTATAATTAATATTGTCATGATTTGTTGGTCATATGTCATATCATGCGAATCATATGCTTGACTTACGTTGGAACAATAAAAAAAATACCAGTGCTTCGATTGTGGTGTCACTGTTGTCCATCGGAATTTATAAACTGTGCATACCAATATATATTCCAAAAACTATGTATGGCATGTTCATCTATACTTTGGAGTGCTTCAGCAGAGGGGATAATGTAGATATTTCATACATGGAGTGTCAGGGTATGGTTTTCTAGCTTCTGTGCAGAATGCTCACCGGCTGAGAGCTCTCGCCTGAAGAAACTGCAAAGACTTCTGCTCGCTGCTACGCCGCTGTTGTGCCAAACGGACACTTTCAGCCTGCAGCAACTGGATCATCCAGCGGCGGGTTCGAGGGCTTCGGTGGGAAAAACATATTCCCCAGGTTTTGAGAAATCACCCAGTTCGGGAAAATAACAATCACCTGATACAAGCAAAACCAGGTTCCCCGTCGCCCCCGGCTCCATGGAAGTGGTGATTTGGGTGTGGGTCATGGCACCAGCTTCCAAACTCGGTCGGTTGACCATGTCTCGCAGTCTACTCTGTTCATGCTCGGTGGGAAAATACAAAACAGGGTTGACCCACAGCCATGGCATGCTTGCATCATTGCATCATTTGTTGCTTTGGAGGTCTGCTTCAGACCAAAACCATGAAACAATTGCAACATGGTTAGCACTTGGGTCTATCCCCGTTAGTGGGGCCCAGTGGATGATGATGGTTAGGTTACAGGCCTTCTTCAAAAGCAGTGATGTTCTTGTGAAACCTGATGGTTCTACAGCTACAGGTTTACTGCATGGAGGGACAAACCCAAGTTCGCACAGAGTGGAAAGCCTACAACATGGTTCGCACAACTGTCAGGCACAGGTGACCATGACAAGTCTAGCTGTTTAGCTCTTCACCAAGTCAAGACCTGAGTATGCCCGGCTATAGGCGTAGGGATTCGGCAGATCCATACTGTTGGACTTAGCACATACCGCTGGATTCAAGGCTGACCTTCCTTTTTTCCGTAATGGTTAACAGCCAACAGCGGTGTTAGATTCGAGGTGTTGCGCGGGCGTGTCCGGCTAATATTGGCTGCTTTTTACAGTACATTCACGCCTCTCGACATGTCGACTGGGCAAGCTCACAAAATCTGGGCGGCCGCGGTGGGTGCTTGTCGCGACTGGCTCTCGTTGTGGCGCCGTGCGCATTTTCGGACATGGTCACTTTTCGTGGCAGGCACAAGGGGAACCTCGTGCTTTGGATAAGCTCCAAACTCAACTTTTTCGTGACAGGTGCAAGGGATCGGGCGGTTCTAGATCGAAATGCGGATAGTTCGTGGCAGCCCCAGCACTTTGGATATGATCGTGATCTTCGCGGCGCTCTGATTCCGTGACAGGTGCAGTGAATCGTGACTTTTGGACATGTGGCTTGTTTGCAGATTTCGTGGCAGGCGCAATACTTTGTAGACCAAATTTTGTGGCAGGCGCAGCACTTTGTGAACCTCGAAGTGCAGATTTCGTGACAGGCGCAGCACTTTGTGAACCTCAAAGTGCAGATTTCGTGGCAGGCACTGCACTTTGTGCAGACCTTGCGGCACGCGCAGCACTTTGTGAACCTCGAAGTGCTGCAGATTTCGCGGCAGGCGGCGCAATTGGTGAACCTCGAAGTGCAGATTTTGTAGCAAGCACAGCACAGCATTTTACAACCTCGAAGTGCAGATTTCGTGGCAGCCACAGCACTTTGTGAACCTCGATGCGCAGATTTCGTGGCAGGCGCACACTTCGAAGTGCAGATTTCGTGGCAGGCGCAGCACTTTGTGAACCTCGAAGTACATATTTCCTGGCCTGCACAACACTTTGTGAACCTCGATGCGCAGATTTCGTGGCAGGTACAGCACTTTTGTGAACTTCAAAGTGTAGATTTCGTGCCAGGCCCCGGACTTGCTCACTCAGCTGGGCCTGTTGGTGCCTTCCTACGAACAAAACAACTGCTGTACTTTACTCTTGCTGTGTGATATTCAACTGAGTGATGACAGTCAACCGCCTGCCGCCTCACCTGGGCCTGTGGCCGAGGAGACAGCTCTGGCCACAGCACCATCCGTTCGTTGTAGGATGCAAGAGAAGTGTCTCCCCACTGGCAGTACCCGTCAAGACGCACTGCCAAGACGGTCCGGGTGAGAGCCTGGCAGGGAACAGAAACGGAAGAGTTTTTCATTGGAAACAGAGTCCTATGCCTCCCCCGAGTTGGCTCCAGTAAAGCACTCGCGGTTGCGGCGGGTTTCTTGTTCGAGGAGCTTCTCTTTCTCGGGGCCGTCTTCTCCCTGCGGCCGGCCACATCATTCTGCATGTCCCAGTGCTCTGCGATCGTCGGGATCTGGACTGCGTCATACTATATATGGATGGCTGTGCGATTTTGTTTAAGTTATAACATAGGTTCTAGTTTGTTAAGAAATCGCTTCTACTTATAACTCACTTGGGGGTGTACTTAAACCTAACTTATTGGCTTTATTGCTTCAACTTAGTTCCAACTTAATAAGGTGAACTTAGGTTCGACTTAATGTAGACCCTGGATTTATAAACGCCCCTAGAATAATGACTTTTTTCCCTGCGCAGATTTATAAAGGCCGCCAGAATAATGTCTTTTTTTTTGGGAGGGGTAGTTGTAGTGGGATATTTTTTATTGTTATAGTTTTCTTTTTCCCTTTTGAGTTTGCTGGGATTTGCTTATCTTACAGGCTTTTGGATGGAGATTTCTATAAACATTTGGAGATGTCCATTGAGATTTGATGCTTTTGGAGGCTTTTGGATGGAGATTTCTATTAACCAGTGGAAGATTTCCATTGAGATTTGATTCTTTTGGAGGCTTTTGGATGAAGATTCCTATTAAAATGTTGGAGATTTCCATTGAGATTTGATGCTTTTGAAGGCTTTTGGAAGCTTTCTGACATTATTTAGGGGGGGGGCCCTAGAATAATGTCTAGGGATTTCAAGCTTAAACATATTTTGCTTTAAGTAAAGTTGCATTCATTCCCTTTCTTTTCCTTTTGATCTGCTTTACTTACCTAAGCTCTTTAGTCTTTAGGCTTTCCAAAAGTTTCCAAAAGTCAGTGCACACTTTCTTTGCAAAATCCCTTATTCAAAAGTATTGAAAAATCATTCAAGCAAAGGGGGTAGTCCAGCAAGCAGCTTTCTGACATTATTTAGGGGGGGCCCTAGAATAATGTCTAGAGATTTCAGGCTTAAAAACATATTTTGCTTTAAGTAAACTTGTATTCATTCCTTTTCTTTTCCTTTTGATTTGCTTTACTTACCCAAGCTCTTTAATCTTTAAGCTGTCCAAACGTTTCATTTTGCTGTCCAAACTTTTATTGTAATTAATATTCCAGATGTCTTCAAAGTTAGGTTTCTTGATTCCTTTCATTTTAGTATTGCCAGAGTAGCTCCAGAAGTAGCTAGCTAAGGATTCCTTTTTTATTTATCAATTGGTTGATTTTCTTACACATTATATTGGAGGCCTTGGTTGTTGAAGGGGGGGAGTTTATAAATCAAGAGTCAACATTACATTGAACTTAAGACTGGTGTTTTCCATAACTGTTTTACTTGATTTTTGTTTTGCAAATTTTGTGGCTCAAGGGTATCCGCATCCGCATCGGATAGCTCGGCGTAGCTATACTGCACAGACAGCCTTCTTCTAGCGAGGACGAAAAAATAAAGGTGGGTGCTCCGGAGGTTTGGGGGAATGTAGGCGGAATGTAGGCGAGGACTCTAGAAAATCAAAGTTTTTAAATGTAGTCGCAACTAAAGTAAACATGGCGACAATGTAGGCGAAATGTAGGCGAATGTAGGCCAAGCAAACGCAAGCGCGAGTGGTTCTGGTTGCTTTGTTTTGGGGTTGCTTTGTTCCGCAGACGTTGTCTCTCATAGTCCCGTCCCGACTTTTCCTGCAAACGTGAACACACCGGCTACTGCTGAACTGGCCACGCAGCAGAATGGTTTGCACTGACAACGCTCGCGAGTGGAAAAAGAGAGAATTCTTGCGTGCCTTTTTTAAAATATAGGTTTGAAAAAGAAAACGACCTATTTAGGTCCTACTTATAACCTAGGTTTTAACTCCTACATAAATTCGTTAAGCTATAACTATAACATCCACAAGTTAAATACAAGCCGCCTATAGGTGCGATGATTATAATGATAGCGGCCTGCACCTTCAAGGATGATGCGATCCATTGCGGCGAATCCGGTGCTGCCTCCATCGAAAACCAAATCCTTTAGCTGCTTGAAGCGTTCGCACCGGGCTGCTCGACGATCGTCTGCAGTCCATCACACTCACTCTCACTCGCACGCTCTCACTCTCACTCACACTCACTCTCACTCTCACTCACTCACCACCACCCCCATCATCACCACGATCTCCACCTTCATCACCACCATCACCGGTCTGGACCCCAATGCGTCTAGATCTACTACACCTCTATAGACCTCACACACACTGTTTGGGGTCTCTTGCCGGGATCATTGTAGTAGCAAGAAACTACTAGGTTGGAGGCCATCGCTAGTAGGTTGGAGGCCATTGCTACTACTATTTCATGCCCCCCAAAAGCCTTGATACCTCGGAGTGACACCAACCACCTCCAGCAATCCGATGGCCGGAGGTGGTGGCTCCCCCATGCCCGGTGATGCTGACGTATTTCAAGAGGCTTTGATCAGCCTTATAGAGACCAGCGCACAGCGCAACCAAAGAGGTCATGTTGTATGGTCGTATGGTTGTATGTGAAAACCTATGGTTCAAGCATGAACACCTTTGAAAACCATCAAATCATCTCCCGCAAGTCTTGTCTTGTGGAAATAAACCAATTCTATGCAAGTCCGGTCCCCATAAGTGGATCCTTTAAGGAATCATTTCCTGGTGCGAAACCCGCCGGCTAGAAGCGGAACCAACGCGGCAGAGTCGTGAACGCCCCGCCGACACATCGATGGCCGTGACGAAGTGGTAGCCGTCGTGGAAGAGGCTGCTGGGAATCTGGAGCGGAAGATCGCAGTCTCACAGGAACCATTTGAGAAGCAAACCGACCACTGACTGCAAGCAGCAGCACCAGCACCAGCGCCAGCAACAACAGCAACACAAAGAGCAGAAACAATTGGTGCAACGAATGACAAGCGACAAGGTACCCCGAAGCCTTTCTCCACGAACCCTTTTGTCCAGAAGCCCAACACCCATGTCCACTGGTGCTCAACAAGTCCATGGCATGTCCATGGCCTATTTCCTACTGGGGTCTACTAGCTGCTAGCGTGAATGCACATTATTACTGCGATAACCACAACAAATAGGACCTGCTGGTTAAACTACACCTCCAGCTCAAGAGCCTCAATGTCAACAGCTCAAACAAATTCCTTCAGGTTCAAGCGCTTGCTTCCAATGCTCCGCCCTTATCCAAGACTGGGCCGAACAGAACAATCCAAAGACACACAATCCAGGACCGTGACCGAACTTGCGATCGACGAGGCCGGAACAACGGTCACGACTAGGCCGGAACAACGGTCACGTGTACAATCTGGACGGTATACATTGTGGTCCACCATTTTCAACCACCTAGGGCCCCAACTACGTCCTGAGAAGGTGGCTGGGGTGACTTTGGGTGGTCTGTCCCTACCTGAGGATGTGGTTGGATCCAAAGGGTGCTTTAAGTACAAAGCGAGGTGTGCTTTGAATCTACTTGACACACAGGCTCCCCGAGCTACATGATTGTCCATCGATTGCCAAACCATGGAGCAAACAGATGTGATGCAAACTTCCTCTCAATGCTGATGGCAGCATCTCCACAATGATACAAAACTTCATGGGCGGTTGGTCAATTGATCATATGTCATCATAGATTCAGCATCAGTATGATCAGGATTACTACCCACTTCCGTCCACCCAATTTGCCATACAAAGTCTTCATGTATGTCTTGGATGATTGCGCAATCAGCCGGCACGCCATGAGAGTAATAATGTAAACCAATTAAAAAACAAACAAAAACAAACAACAACAACAACAACAACAACAACAACAACAACAACAACA